AGGTTCGCACAAAGAGATATTTTACAAGTGTAGACAGTGCAACCAAAGAGGGGGAAAAAAGAAAAAATGATGACTGCACCAAACATGTGTTACGATTGAAAAGGACTTCATTTTAAGGTGGATTGCCCGTTCAAAAATAAAAGCCGTTTCCAATATAGAAGACTTGGTTATAGACAAAGTTATTGCAAATCAAAGCAAAGAAAAAATGTAAGACATTTTAATACAGTAAAATCTGACTGAGGCCCAGAACAGATAATTTGTGAAGGCTAAAATGAATAACGTTGAAATAAAATTTCAATTGGACAATCATCGACATTACTATAATTAATGAAAAATCTTGGATAAATATTTTTGCACCTACATTAATGAAAACCAAAAAAGTTGCATCTCGCATCTCAGGAAAAAATTATGTTTTTTGAGGCAAAATTGTATGTAATACCACATATGCTAGTAAAACTTTAAAAATTACAGCATTCGTATTAAAAAATAATACACTGAACTTATTAGGCACAGATTGGATGGAACTGTTTGATTTGTGGAGTCTGCCTGTAAATTCGCTCTGTAAAAAAAGTGAATGGATCCTCTGGTGACTGAAAGTTTTTTTTAAAGATGTTAAAAAAGAATTTTCCTACAGTGTTCTCCGAAGGTCTTGGAAAATGTACTAAAGCAAAGGCAGTTTTTCACTTAAAGGAAAATGTAGTTCCTGTTTTTAAAAATAAACATAATGTGCCTTTTACAGTTGTGGAACACATTAACAAAGAACTTGACAGATTAGAAACTATTATTTCACCCACAGATTTTTATGAGTGGGCAGCTCCAACAGTGTTATGTAAAAAAGAAAAGTAATAATATTTGGGTATGCACAGATTTTTCCACCCGGGTTAAATGAGTGTCTACTACCTCACAAATATCTGTTACCATCCCCAGAAGGAATTTTTTCTATATTAAACGAGGGAAGATTTTTAAAAACATTGACCTGTCAGATGCATACTTACAAATTCAAGTGGATGAAAAATGTAAAAAATTGTTAACAATTAACACACACAAGGGTCTATAGAGTTTTAATAAGCAACTACTCGGGGTCAAAGTGGTACCAAGCATTTTCCAGCAACTAATGGATGCTAGCTGATCTAGATTTTGCTGTTACATATTTTGCCAACATACTCATAAAAAAAAAAATGATACTAGGCAGCTACATTTGGAACACATACAACAAGTATTCCAGAGGATAGAAGAGTACAGGTTCAAATCTAGTGATGAGAAATACCAATTTTTCGTGAGCAATATAAAATGCTTGGAAAAAATAATAGATGCAAATGGGTGTAGACCAAATCCACAAACGACAAGTGCTATCAAAAATATACCTTCCTTGACAAACATTGATACTTTACAATCATTTCTAGGGCTCACAAACTATTACAATCATTATGCACCAAACATGCATAAATTGAGAGTGCCTTTAAATAAACCAAAAAAAGGTGTGGTGTGGAATTGGTCTGATGAATGTTGAAAAAATTTTAAAGACGAAGAACGTGTTAACATCTGAATTATTGTTAACACATTTTAATTCTGATTTAGAAATAATTCTACCATTATGGCATTGGAGCAGTCATTTGTCATAAATTTAGGGATGGTAAAATAAAAGCAGTTGTTTATGCATCCAGAATGCTAATAGCAACTGGAAAAAATTATAGTCAAATTGAAAAAGAAGCACTAGCTAGTATTTTTGCAGTGAAAAAAATTTCACAAAATGATACATGGTAGGAAATGTGTTCTGCATAGATCACCACCAATTATTGACTATTTTTGGTTCTAAAAAAGGCATTTCAACTCAAACTGTCAATAGGTTGCAACGTTGGGGAATAATTTTACTAAACTATGATTTCAAAATGGATTATTTATATTCAAAGAAATTGTAACATGCAGATGGCTTGTCCAGTTTAATCCCAAAACTTAAGAACCCTTTCGAGGAGATAGTGATTGTGTCTTTAATTTTTGAAAATAAGATAAAAAGTGTTTTGCATAACACAATAAGAGACCTACCCGTAACTTTAGGCAAAATTAAAATACAATCCGAGAAGAATGATTACATTTTGAAAATGATGAACAACATAAAAGTGAGAATGGAAAGAAGAAAATATAAGTCAGGTATTAGTGAAAATAAGTCTTTTCCATCTGTGATAAAAGTACTGATGTATGCTTTGGTTTGGTTTGGTTTACGGCATATCAACCACAATGGGTTATTTAATGTCAACAAAATTTCCTTTTATTTTCAAAAATGTGTATCTGGTAATATTTTTTTTTAAAATGTATAGTTTGGTTTGTTTTGCTTTGTGGCATATTAACCTCAATGGGTTATTTAATACTGATAAGATTTTTATTTCTGGTAATATTTTCTTTTTTTCAAATATTTATTGCTGATACTAATTAATTCTGGTATTAACATCTATTTTTACACTTTCATAGTGTTTTGAGTCAGATTGTGGGGTCAGCTATTTGCCCATGGCTGGGACCCTAACGGGTGTTACCACCATGAGTCAGGGTGGATCTGGGAACACCAGCAATTAAAGGTAGTTCCACACTCCTCAAAACCTTCTGATCAGAGGCCTTTCTGTTGGACGTAGTTTATCGTCTTACCCAGGACACACTGATGCAGTTTATCATCATACCCAGGACGCACTGATGCAGTTTATCGTCACACCCAGAATGCACTGATGTATGCTGAAAGAGTAATAAGTCTAACTTCTTTGCAAAAAAGAATTTTAAAGCAGTTTCATGTTTGACATTCCAGAATGTCAAACATGAAATCCATTATAAGAAGTTGCATATATTGGCCTAAAATGAACCAGGACATTCAAAATTTAGTTAAATCATGCAGAGGTTGTTGTGCTCTAGTGGTAAAATTACCACCTGTAAATTATCAACTCTGCGCTAACACTGAAAAACTTGGGTCTAGGTTGCATTGTTTATTACGTGGAACCTTTGAATTGAGTGTATGACTCAATTTTCATTGACAGTTTTTCAAAATGACCTGAAATCTTTAAGTATAGAAGCCCTACTTCCACTGTAACTGCAAATTTTCTTCATGAACTGTTTTCCAGATTTGGAGTTCCGGATAATATAGTATTTGATAATAACACGCAATTTACTTTAAGTGACTTTAAATATTTTTGCAAATACTATACAGTTGAGCATATAACAATGCTGCCATATCACCCAAGATCAAATGGTCAGGCTGAATGTTTTGTTGATAAATTCAAAAGGGCGTTAAAGAAATCAAATGGAGAGGAGGCGGAAGAAATAATGCTCCAACAGTTTTTAATAATCTATAAACTGACCCCTAACCCTATGACTACATCGAAGATGTCACCAGTGGAACTAATGTTTGCCAGGAAAATTAAATCGGTGTTTTTCAAATTACTACCTGGAAGAAAAATAAGGATTTGGCATAATATGAAATTAACTATAAAATCTTTCAAAGCAAGAGATTAGGTTTTCTTCAGGATTTACAAGGCAAGAAAGGAAGGTTGGGAAGATGGTGGAATAGTAAATTGCATTGGCAGGATGATGTATATGATACAAGGTCAAAATTGGTGACATAAAAGTCATTTAAACTAATTAAAACCAATATATGCTAAGAAAATAAAAAAGCAACAAAGAGATTTACCGATGAAAGTACTGTATGATACTTTTGAATTGCCAACACCAATAATAAATACTTGAACACACCATGTTAGTAAAAGAAAAAAAAATTCAATGGAAGTGAACCGCCAAAAGAAGAAAATGAGTATTTAAAAGAGAATGTCTACCTTAAAAAGGGGGTGTTGTGTAGAAAGACAAACTGACCTTCACTACCCTAAATTGTTGAACATAGACTCTTCTGATCTCTTTGAGTAGGACTTCAACTCATAGGAAAAGAGTCACGAAGTGGGTTGTACACATTTCCACACTATAGTATTTGCTATTACTGTATTATTAATCTACGTGATTAAACAGTTTCTTCACTAATCTTGTATTCCAGTGGTTTTCTTGGAATATTATTGTTGTAACCTAGAGAATGTTACTGAATAATCCCACAAAGGTTGGTAATGAACAATAATATTTAGGACAAGAACAACACATATAAGATTCACCAGTGGCACATAGAAGAAGTAGTCAACTCCTAGAAGTAAGTCAAGTGAATTCCAGAATGAATCTCCAACTGCAGACCAACATACAGTATTTACTACTGTATTTATGTGAATGGGGATATACCCATTATCTTTCGTAGGTATGCTAAAACAATTATTAACCAAAAATACAAGCTTATGCGAGCAGTATAACAGAAAAGAACACAGCCTTGCCATTAATGAATTCAAGAATTCCTGAAAGGAAACCAGACACAATATAAGGAAATATTCCTCAATCAAAATGGAAACAGAGTAAATGCTTCAAATCATTTTCATAGAGAATATGTCTTTCTAAAAAGGTTTTCACTTAGACATTTCATTCTTTAAAATACACACTTGTTACAGATTTAATAACGGCAAGAAATAATCTAAAAATATTACTAATGTTCATTACATGTACATAAAATTCTAAAACTTTTACATAAAGCAGTTTAAACAATAAGCTTTTGATTCCTAAAACTTTAGAGCATAACACAAAATGTTTAAATCACTTGAAAAGTCCAAGATTAACTTTGAAAGTTTTATTGTTTTTTCTATTTGTAATAAAGAAATATTGGTAGATGAAGCTGATTTGAAATGTACATCAACTAAGCCTCATGAAAGAATTGCTACTTATTCAGATATGACTTTATAAAATAGACACATAATCCAAATTTGTTTTTTTCTTTTCTGAACAAAAATCTTATACAACAGGAAAAAATAAAAATCTTGTATCTTTTTTTAGATATCCCTTAATGTTTAAAAAATCTTCCATGTGTCTCAAGTTATTTTGCAGGCAGAAACATCCAAATTTATTCATGGTACGCTGCAAAGATTTATAAAAATACTCACTGTTCTGTACTTAAGCTTTTTCTGTCACTGTCCCTAAAAAAATAAGAAGGAAAGTTTCAAAGGTTGAAGAAAAAAAACATCCAAAGAAATTTTTGCCACAAAATTTTGAATTTTAAAAATAAAGCTAAAACAGGAGACTCGTTTCATATTAAAATATATCACCTGATGATGATTGGAAAGTTGAAGGTTTATATTTAACCCCTTTGGGAACAAGATCTTTTTACTTTAGGCATGAATTTACTTTATAAAACTTTTTTTAATGAAAAATGTTACTTATTTTCAACTGAGATTCCTCTTATCACTATTAATGTTTAATATCAGCAAAATATCTCAACAGCCATTTCAGAATAATGATAGTTTTCACTGTCTTCATCAACATCTACAAATTGCTTTGAATCACTATCTGATTTTCTGCCATATTAGGAAGAACCAAAAAAAAGAAATTTCTTCTTAGCTGCTTCCAAAGTGATTGCAGATGGTAATATCTGCAGTGTATCTTCTAAAGAAAATTCTTAAGGACTTTTTAAGGATTCTTACAAATTTTTTACTTGGCAGGAAATTTTGGATTTAATTTCTTGTATTACACTTGGATAAATTGACAATATTTGTTGTTACTACAATACAGAACCTCTATTTTTTTATTTTCCCTTTGTTTGTCCCCTAAAAAAATTTATGTGCTTTTTAGATTAGTCACCGTTTTTTTACTTTTCCTGTTCAGCCCATAGTAATCACTGAAACTGGCAAAATAAAGCACAGACTCAAAGCCCTCCTCAGTTTATATATTTTCTTATCCTTCAAAATCTGGCCCCTGTCCCCGCACTATATAGCATTGTTGGTTTTAAACCTTTTAAAATATCATTATTTGCACATTTGTTTAAAGTAGCCACCTTTCTATACATTTATTTTTGGTGTACTTCATCATGTAGAAACCCTTTTACCATGTGTCTACACTTTCTTTGTTCTTTTTATGTGCCGTGTCCCTTCAGGACATAGGTGATCATGGCTCTTCACTTCTCCCTATCCCTTGTAGTTCTCAATAAGTTTTGTCCCTCTGCCACCTCCCACAGACCACGTTCTGTCATCTACTTACTTGAGCCTGCCAGGTATATCATGCATTGCTTTCTCTTGTCTCTTTCCCTCTATTCGACCTGTGAGTATTAGATTCTCCAGGCCCTCATTTCTCATTATGTATCCCATAAATTTCAACTGCCCCTTCCTGATGTTAAGTATAAGCTTCCTCCTTGTTTGTATCCTCTCTAAATCCTCATCATTGCTCACACCCTCAGTCCATGACATCCTCAGCATCCTTCTGTAGAACCATAGCTTTGTTGCTTCAAGTCTCTTCTTCATCTTTGAGGAGACCGTACAACATTCTCTGCCATAAAGGAGGACAGATGTCATGTCGCAGCTCAGTATTCTTTGGTACCAAAAAAATTCTCCTGTTTCATAATACTCTGCATAGCTCTTGCAATGCATCTTAGGCCATCCGAATATGTCTTTGGATCTCAGCATTGCACTTACTATTCTCCATCAAAACACTTCCCAGATATTTAAAATTCCACACCTGTTTGATTTTAGTGTCCCTGACCTGCAAATTTTGCATTTCGGGCTCATCCTTTTACTGATGACCATACATTCTGTCTTCTTGTAGTTTATGCTTAGTCCCTTTTTCACACTCTTCTTTACTACCTTCTGTAGGTGGTTTTGTAATTTCTTTTCCATGTCTGTTAACAGTTTACACACTGTTCTCAAACATTAATTTCATGTAACTTTCTTCCTTTCTGTTGTAGCATACCTATGGATGATAATGGGTATGTCCCCATTTACATAAATACAGTAGTAAACATCTCATCTGCAGTCACTCTCTCACAGACATCCTGTTGCCTCTCTGTCTTTTTTACAAATACTTTCATGGTAACTGCTCCGAGAAGCTGCTTTCACTGATTCCCAAACTTCATGAATTTAAGCGTTCAACTAGGCTGGCATCTCGCTCACACCCTTTCACTGTCGAAACTGTTAAATGTAGCCGTCTCTACTACTCCAATAGCTTCAAGTCTTGCACCTCTTGCCTGTGGAACTCCCTCCCCTCTTCCTGTTTCCCTGATAGCTATAATCTCCAACTATTCAAATGTAATGTCAATCAACGTCTCCAGATGCCCTGATCTATCCCCTATCCTTCTCTTCATTCTTTCCTCTATCATTCCGATTTGCTCTCAATCCAACTCTCTGTAACCTCTTGTGTACTAGTGGCTTCCCACCTTGCTTGGGGTGAAATGCTTAAAAAAATAAAAGTAAATATGTTAGTCTGCAGTTGGAGATTAATTTTAGAATTCATTTGACTCATTTCTAGCAATTGACTACTTCTAAGTGCTGATGGCAAATCTTATATGTGTTGTTCTTATCCTAAGTATTATCGTTCATTAACAAACTTCATTTGATTATTCTATTCAGTAACCTTCCTTACATTACAACACTTTCTATGAACTTACCATTGTAAACTTTATAATATAATCCTATAAGCAAACTATTTGCTATCGTCCTTTATCCCCATTTAGACCCAGGGTCTTAACTGCTACATTCAGCCTCCGGTTGCCTTGTCATATTCTTCTTTTTTACATTTTTATTTATTAGTTATTCAGATTAAACTCGTCTCAAGTTTGTATTTATTTACTTTTTTTTAGTTTTAATTGCCATAAGGCATTTATCTGGCTGTCTGAAGTATGCACATGTGAGAGATGGCAGAATTGTTTTTATCAATAAAATTTTTTTTCTTTCATCTCTTCAGCCACATCAATTTTTTTCTTTATTGATTTTTAGCTCATTTTTTCTTTCATCATTTTTTTTATCCAATAACAATAATGAAGGTGACAAATTCCTGTCAGCCTAACATCCAGTCTTAGAATGCAAGATTAATTTCAACATTTTCAGCTGATTAGTTCCTCCTCTGTTTAACCAATTCCAATCTTTTTTTCCCTCATTTTCAGACAAAGTTAAAGCCAAAATAAGTCATACCGAACCATTGTCTCAAATGAAACATTCTAATAGCAATGGTAGTTTGAAGTTTTGGGATGAAGAATTTTTATTATGTCACATATTCTGGGATGACTATCTTCATCTTGGTTGTTTTTAATCAAACTTATGGTTTTTATGTAAGCTGTAAGTTCTTTATCTGATTAAATTTACAATGCTTTATAAACCTGTGTTATAAATTAACATCAAGAGAAAAGTTACTTCCATATCTGACATCAGTTAGTAGCAAGCAAATTCAAGAAAGGGGTGTGTGGGTGGCATAATGGTTATTGATGTAGAAAGTAGAATTTGGTCTGTTGTGTTCACTTTTGCACAACTTCCCTTGGAAAAGGCATGAACCTATTTCTTCTCCCTCCAGCTATGGGTTAAACAGCAGAAGAGAATGAACTCACTAACCTTGGGTGACAGCCTGTCTAGGAAAAAGGCTATGAAAAATGATTCCATTATCTTATCCAAGAAATTATGGCATTCTATTTTTCTTTCCTTTTGTGTGTAAATTACATATTTTTGAATAAATATAAATTTAAATTGGTTGATGATTTTTCATGCAAATACAAATTGAGAAAAATATTTTGTTTATGCATAAAAAATGATTGATGAAAAAAAAAAAAACAAAATCTTAAAAAAAACAAAAAAAAAACACACATACTTGAAAAATACAAGAAAGCCAAAAGGAAGGTTTGTAAAGAGGAAAAAAAAAAAAACATCCAAATAAATTTTGAAATAAGAACTGATAAAATTTGAAAAAATATTTTTTAAATTTCAAGACAAAAGATTTATGAAAAAACAAAAAAAAGCAATAAAATGATTTGAAAAAAGAAATAATTTAAAGAAAAAACACAAGATTTATAGAAAAAAAATTGAAGAAACAATAACAAAGATTTAAAGAAAAACAACAAAACAACTTGAAAAAAAAAATTGATTTGGAGAAAAACCTAAAGTTTGTTTTGAAAGTTAAAAAAGCAAAAATCTTAGGAAAATAAAATTACATAAAATCTGTGACAGGTTGAGTTGCATTCTTTTCTATTCAAACAGGCTTTTCACCAATTTTATTAGTAGCATAATCGTGTTTTCTGTTTCTTTGAAAAGTGAAGTGCAGAGGCGGAAGGTGTGTGTGCGTGTATGTGTAGGGGGGGAGGAAGATTGGAAAGATAAAGTCAAGAAAGAAGCAGAAAAATGGCAGGTGGGAGGAAGACAAAATTCAGGTAAAAAAAGACGCATTTGAAAAAAGGTAAAATGATTGAAAACAAAAAAAAAAAAAGAACAAGCAAAAATAGAATAAAGCAGAGAAAAGGAAACAAATAAAATCATAAAAACTGGACAAACTAAAATCAAACACAACCACACATACATATATATATATATATATATATATATATATATATATAAGAGAGGGAAGGAAAGAGAGAGAGAAATTGGATTCCGCTGTTCTTTTTAAACTGATTTGCATAAAAAAAAAAAGAACAAACAAAATCTTATTATTATACATTTGATTCAGTTCTTCTAAGATTCCTTGTAACTGGTGATTTTTTAACTGTAATCCTGTGAGTGTGTATGTGAGTATATATATTTGTGTGTACGTGAGTATATATATTTACACCTATACACACAGAAAAATGAGATTATCTAGAAAGAAAGAGAAATACATCTTTCCAAAAGAACAAAAATATGTAGAAATATTCATGCATCTTTGTACATTTAAAAACTTACTACCTCTGTTCCATAAGAATTGTCACATTTTTACCATATGAAATGTGTGTGTCAATGTGTCATAGGGCAGAGGTGGCAGAACAGAATAGAAAGATATAGAGGGAAGTGAGAAAGAGAAAAGAAGGAGAAAGAGGCAAGGGAAGTGAAAAAGGAGAAAGAAAGATAGAGAGAAGAGGAGGGAAAGTAAGTTAAAAGGAAGAGGAAGAAAGAAACAATTATGGAAAGGAGAAAGTGAAGGAAGGTGACAAAAGAGAGACATTTAAGGAAATGTTCAGAGAAAGTGAGGAGACCGTGGGGGGGGGGTTAATAAGAAAATAAAAAAGAGAACAAAGAAAAGAGACAGGGAGTTAAATAGGAAGAGAAAAAGGCAGAGATAGATGGGAGAGGAAGTTAAGAAAGGAGATACTGAAGGAAAGAGTGAGAGAGTAAAAAGAGGAGAGAATGTGGGAGGTATTCAGTAACCATCCCAAGGGCGGAATAAAAAGGCTCCAATCAACATTTCTTGGAATTTAGCAAGCACAACAAACACCCAAGAAAGACATTTAGGGTAAATGACCAAAACATATGACCCATTGATAAAATGCCAGAAATATGGTCAGCTCTCTGTAACACTCTAGAAAGTACTTGATGCCTTCTTTATCAGGAATCAGATCAGATCAAAAATGGAACATTGCTGCAGCCATATCTGGGTTAGAGCTGCACAATCCGTAATTTCCAGCCTTGATAAATTCCAGGGCCATTTGCACATGTTTGTGCATTAAGATATATTTTTCACCCGGTAGACCCTTTTATCAGAGAGGTAACATTGCAAGCCTGTCATTACGCTATCGTTATTTCCATGGCTAATGTTCAGACGAGCTCCATTCCTTCATTTCAGCAATTCAGACTTTTAGAATTAAGAATCACTAAGCTGCACCCAAGGAGTTGAAACTCTTTTTACTCACTCTGTATTTCAATTGCAATGAGAAAGTTCCACTCGTACACCTTTTTTCCCCACCAAGAACCACAGCTTTGTGGAATAGACTCATCTACAGAGGATTCCTTGAATGTTATAATCTTAACTTGTTTAAATTAAGACTCAATTGTTACCGAAGCTACATAATCTACATAAACCTTACTTTTTACTCTTACTTTTATATCACACATCTCATTCAGTAATACTCAACTATAAATGGCTCTTGAGCCTTGTATTCAATAAACACTAGTAAAAAAAAAAAAAAAAAAAAGATTAGAATACAAAAGAAACATTTTAGAAGATTTGTTGAGAACTGATTGTGTGGCCTTGATGTAACTTAACAACGAATCAGGGAAGATTTTACAGTGTATGTGTCAACACTCTCCTATGAGGTTACACATTTGGCAGAACTATGATTATTGCAGTTATAATATCACCTTAGCAACATTTAATAAGAATATGAGACAGAAGTTTTCATATCTAAAAAAGTTTATTTACTTCTGGAAATAATGTCATTGTGAGGGTGTGTGATTTGGGGGGGACTTTCTTTAAACATTGATCTTCTTCTTGCAAGGATATGAGAGACTGACTTTTCCTTCTGCAATGAGTCATTTATATAACTTCCTCTCATCCGGTTGCCCCACATGTGTATATTCTAAGCTCAACTGAGTTGACTGCCCGTTTACATGTCAGGGCAGCCACTTATAAGCTTATAAGGCCTGATTCTATGCTGATTCTTTTCAGATCAACCCTCTGATGTACACGCTTCCTCTGATGTTTTGGTCTAACACCAAGTGCAAAGCCTTCCTTCATATCTCTCACAGTGAGTCCAGTACATATTGGAGTCACCACAGATCAACTCCTTATTGATATCAAATTTGATTCAGACTTTTTCCAACACTAGAAATTTTTTGCAACATGCTGACATAGGTTGAAATACTCATAATATTTTGTATTGATGAAATTATCACTAACATTTTTTGTTGAGATGTACAATGTCTACAGTTCATTCAATTTGAAAATAAATTTTTGAATAAATTGATTTGTGTGGAAAAATACTTTGACAAAAACACTACTTTCTGGCTTAATAATTTTTTTAATTTAACTTTATAGGACTTCATGGTAAACAATATTTTTTAAGAACATTTCTTTTTTTCCTTTTTAACAGCGAAGAATAAATTCATAGGATTTGTGCACTCTTGAGCATACAACATACAACTGGCCAAATGATTATTTCTCTCTGGAGCCAAATTCCAACTTTGTGAAGCGTTTGGCCTTGTCATTTATTTATAGTTCTCATAAGCTGGAAACCAGATTCTTGTATATAAAAGCATAAAGAAAAGATATGCTAAAAACAATATTGCATTTTCGTAAATAAGTATTTGTTATTTTAATCATTAAATTGTTTTTAAAATAGTGGGAGTATTTGTATGTTAAATAATAAAAAATTTAATTTTTCCCCCCAAAATTAATAAAAATTCATTGTACCCCTTACCTGTTTGCACTTTATTGCTAATAATGCAAGACTCTCCTAACCAATTGAGTTCTCTAGGTTACTTGTGTGTTTATGAAAAAATAATAATACACAAAAATTTGCCCCTCTCTGCCAGGCACTGGGTTAAAATCTCCAACTGATGCCAAATCGCATCAGGTTTCAGACTCGGCTTGAAGCGATCAGATGTCTAGTCACATTGATGAGCTGTGATACAGTGAAACAGTCTGTCTGGATGCTGAGTATATATATATATATATGGATAGATAGATAATGAAGAAAATGAGATAGATAGATTTGAATAGACTGAGATAGATAGATAGATACGAACAGACTCAGATAGATAGATAGATAGATACGAACAGACTCAGATAGATAGATAGATAGATAGATACGAACAGACTCAGATAGATAGAGATAGATAGATAGATAGATAGATAGATAGATAGATACGAACAGACTCAGATAGATAGATAGATAGATAGATAGATAGATAGATACGAACAGACTCAGATAGATAGATAGATATGAATCTTGACTAACAGACTCAGATAGATAGAGATAGATAGATAGATAGATAGATAGATACGAACAGACTCAGATAGATAGATAGATAGATAGATAGATACGAACAGACTCAGATAGATAGATAGATACGAACAGACTCAGATAGATAGATAGATACGAACAGACTCAGATAGATAGATAGATACGAACAGACTCAGATAGATAGATAGATAGATAGATAGATACGAACAGACTCAGATAGATAGATAGATACGAACAGACTCAGATAGATAGAGATAGATAGATAGATAGATAGATACGAACAGACTCAGATAGATAGAGATAGATAGATAGATAGATAGATACGAACAGACTCAGATAGATAGATAGATAGATAGATACGAACAGACTCAGATAGATAGATAGATAGATAGATACGAACAGACTCAGATAGATAGATAGATAGATAGATAGATACGAACAGACTCAGATAGATAGATAGATAGATAGATAACTCATATACTCCAATAGATAGATAGATAGATAACTCATATACTCCAAAGTTACAATGACCAAAAGAGTTGATTCTTTATATCTTATGCAGATTATTTTTTTTTTTTTGACAAAACATTGATTCATCCAGATTTGTCAACCTCTACTATAGTCAAGATTTAGCTCCCTGTGACTCTTTTGCCAAAATTAACATCAGGGATGAGATTAAAAAGAATATGACAAGACAACTGATGGCAATCCCAAAAGAGGACTTTGTAAATTGTTTTGAATTGTGGAATAAATACTAAGATAATTGTATGAGTTTCCAGGGGAAGTAATTCAAAGGGACTCAAGTAGGTTATTTTTCTATAATATCAAATGAGTAGATACTTTCTGGACAGACCTTGTATATTGTTTATATTTTAATACTGTAAAATCCACCTGTGGGGTATAGAGCTACAACATCATCACCTTAGGTGTTGCTGCTGTTGTTTCTATAGCTGTAGGTTATTAAAGTGTTGAGATTCACTCTCCACATCAAACAGTTTTTGATTCATAGTTGCCTTTCTCTTAGACTGACTAGAGAGAGAGAGAGCTATTCTGCCTCACTGTTAACCCTAGGTGAGAGGAGAAGAGATAGATTCATATCTTTCCAAGGTTATTTATATAAAAGCAAATGCAATGGACTTGGCTAGAATTTGAAAGCATCATTGTCAGCGTGAGAAAAATCTCAAGAAGCCAACAAGGAAATGGAGATGTCAACATCAAACAATTACAGAAATAAACTTTTAGCAGATGATGGAAAATAAAACCCAAATGTGCATTGGAATAGTAAAAGATGGCTTCCAAAAGTTAAGCAAATTACTGAGAAACAGGAAAATGTTAAAAACAAAGAAGAGTGGTGAACTGTTATTAGTCCTCTTATATGGCAATGAATGTTGGACAATCTTTCCAGAGATGAAAAGAAAATTGGATGCAACTGAAACGAGTTTCTACAGAAAGATGCTGAGAATGGCATGGACAAAGCATGTGGGTAACAAGAAAGATTTAAAGAAAAATGGCAACAAAAAGCACACTTATAATTAGAATAAAAAAAAGACAATTGAAATTTCTGAAATGCATAATGAGGAAGGAGGACTTTGATATTCACAAAAACAGAAAAAGGAGGAGGGGAAGGAAGCGGGCCACTTACCTGACAAACTTGTGTAGATGGATGGTAGAATGGAGTGCGAAAGACATGACAAACATTGCTAAGGGCCACAAAGGATAGGAGGTTGTAGAGAGCCATGATTGCCCATGGTATATAAAAGGAAAAAGATGTATCAAATGTAGACAATAAAGAAATGTACATATATACAGAGTAGGACAAAAGATGAGCTTTTAAATAAAATTAACAAAACTTATTTCAGAAAAAGAAGCATCCTATTTAGTGCTGGAGTTGTTTTTATAGAATTAGTAATGAAAACCCCACTTGCCTCTGACTTCTTGAATAAAGTCTTTTCTTTTTTTTTTTAATAATTTCACCCTAAGCAAGGTGATAGAAGCCATTAGGATGCAAGGGGTTACTGAAAGAAAGAGAAACAGTAAAAGAATAATAAAAGAACAGGATTCAGGGAAACAGAAGATGATGATTGACATTGCATTTAAATCTTTGAAGATCATAGTTAACATGAAAGCTGGAAGCCTGAAGAAAGTTCCAAAAGTGAGAAGTGTAGGAGAACAAACTATTATCATGAAACTTATGGTAGCAATTTCAACAGCAAATTTATGAGACCTCACTGCCAATCTAGAATTGTGCTTAATTTTGTGATGTTGAAGTACCAAAGAGAAAAGCAATATTTAATTTGAAAATACAAAAATGTGGCACAAGGCCAAAAGCGGGGATAGGGGAAGGCTGGTCTTCAATCTGTCATGTCTTAAACTCAGCTAACCACAATTACAGAGCCAACCATACCACAGTATTTCTTACACCAAAACAACACATTTTTACTTACCATTCACACTATAGACAGTCACCATAATGCCTCAAAGTCTCTATGAAGTCCTAACTAGTTCCCTTATGCATAAGTTGTTTGTGGGGGTGGGGAATAAAAATAACAACTTTAAAAATGTTAAACACCAATAAATATATACCAAAAGGAAAAGCTTATCAGGACTATTACTATGAAAATATTTATAGAAAAGTCACATGGAAGCTATGTTGTAGCCATTGGAAGATGCCAGCTCAGGTCCAATAATATTGGTAGTTTCTTTGGATATGGACAGTAGAAGAATTAAAAGAAACTGCATCAATTAGTTTCATAGACAAAGTTAGACCAGTTTTAATTTATTTCCTTAGTAACATAACAAAACAAAAGCAAAGGATTGGAAAGTAACCATGAATATAAAATATGGAATCAGTAGTGCTGTTACTTGCATAAGCACTGGAATTGGATCAGGATATTAGTAATCAATTTTTTTCTTCTTTTTTTTCTATTTCAAACAGTAAAAAAAAGTTGGTAAACACTACCTACAAATAAAGGCATCCTTCTTAAAAACAAATAAGTGGGTACTGATAAGTTCTCAGCCTAACCAAGAAGCCTTTCCAAAAGAATAATCTGCTATTTGGTGAGATTTTGCAAGAACTTTTCACCCATCCCAATTTGCATTTGTATAAAGGACAACCAAACAAGCCAAAATTTAATGTGGACACATTGACCAGCACACAGGTAGGGATAATTTTAAAAAATGTATACTTTTCATAGCCACACCCAAAATAAATATACATGCCAATACAAAGCTAATGGAATTATTGTGGTTACAACGAAAAGAATGAGGTCAATAGGTCAAATAAATTTTGTATAAAATAAAACAAAATAATTTTAGATCAAAATAAATAAAAATATTCACAATGAAAGATTTAAAATGACAGAGAAGCAATTTTATCAATAAAATTTTAAGGAAAATTAAAACTAAATGAAAACAGATGTTCTTCTATGTGCCGTGTCCCTTCAGGACGTGGGCGACCCTGGCTCTCCACAATTTCCTGTTCTTTGTAGATCTTAATAAATTTTGTGTTTATTATCTCTTCTAAAGTGGGCATCAAATTTTCCAAGCCCTCTTTCCTCATTATGTGCTCTAGAAATTTCAACTGTCTCTTCCTGATGTTAAAATATAATTTTCCTTTTTGTTTCCATGTTCTCTAAAACTTCAATGTTACTCAAATGTTTGGTCTATGGCATTCTCAGCATCCTTCAGTCGAACCACATTTTTGTTGTTTCAAGTCTCTTCTTCATCTGTAAGGAGATTGTCTAGCTTTCACTGCCAGGACTGATATTACATAACAGTTCAGTAATATTTTCTTTGTAATGGAATTTTTAACAGAAAAAAACAGCTGAAATATCTGGAACATATACTCAGAAAAGAAGGTTGAGAGAATTTAAAACCCACAGGACATACAGCAAAGGAAACAATGATTAACTTCTTTAATGTTTGTATGAATGGCTGGCAGAAAAAGACCACAAAGACAAAAAGGGATAAGAGTTACTTAAATCAACATAAAGCAAGAAGCTGTGGAGAGCCTTTACCAGCTATGTTCTGAAATGACATGGAATATAAAAGACAAAAATACTGAATCATTTGCTGGGAAGTTTTCCACCTGACCTGTGAGTTTTTCTGCATATACTGTGGTATCAAAACTAAATTTCGGTGTTTCATATTTTGTTCTGATATGGTGACATCAAAATATGTAATGGCCTGTCAAGTGAAGTTAGTAATTACAATGCATGATATTAATGAGGTCATCGGTAGCCAACCTCACCAAACTGACAGCATGATTTTAAAGGGTTTCAAAAGTTTCCTCTTCACGTTGTAAGCTAATGCCAGAATCAAACTTAGGTGTAAAATCCCAACATCCAAGTAACCATGTCAAATAGTTTGGACTGATTTAGATTGAATACAGATATTTACAAGTTGTTTTTTGTCTCCTTGAAGATCAAACATAATATTTAATTTCATATTTGGCAGTGAATTTTAGAAAATCACCTCAAAGATGAAGAAGATTAATGAATATATAGAGATATTGTTCTATGTATGAATACTAAGAATACCATAGAGAGAACATATGAGTAATGAGGAAGGTTTAAGGTTTTATAGTCAGAAAAAAAGACAAAATTTCTGAGACAAATACAACAGAATAGAATGCTTGGAGAATTAAACACTCACAGGACTTAGTGAAGGCATGAGAAGCAGGAGAAACAATGGATAAACTACTTAATGAGTTTTTGTGAATATCTGGCAGAACAACAACAAATAAGAATTGTAAAGTATCAAAAGTTGCTTAGATTGTAGAGAGCCATGATTGCTCACATCCTAGAAGGACATCACACATAGAGAAGGAAATTCACAATGTTAAAAATAAAGATTACATATTGAAATTCAATCATTTTTCAGATGGGGATTTTCATTTTGCTATCATGATATTTCAACAAATATAATTTATAAAGTATTTTTTCATTATTCTGTACTTTATCCAAATTAATGTCTTGATTTTTGTTGTTTTTATCACAAGTTTCTGGTTACTATATTCTTTTTCAGTAAATCTTGATAAATCAGAACAAAATAGCTTTGGACAAAACATGCAGACTAAAAGTTTGAAATGATGAAAATATGTCATCTTAAAACCTGCAAGAAAATGAGATAAAATCAATAAATAAAATAGTAATAATAATAAAAAAAACAAAAAAACATTTTCGTATAATGCTAGCTATAAAGGAACCAGAAAGGGTTTTGGTCATCTGCACAATTTTATGACCCCACTTCCAGAAAGGACAGGACCTTTCTCTTTCCACTTTCCAACACAGTGTCCAGACATGTTTTGCAGAACTTCTCCACCAATGGAGTAAGTACAACCTATATTTTGGTTGTTCCAACTCAGTGCAAGGCTGACTTAAGCTCAATCATTCTAACTATTATCATTACTTACCCTAACTTATTTCTTGATCAGAAAAAGAAAACAGACATACTCAGGCGACCTTGAGAACTTTCTTTTCCTACAGGTATTATATAAAAAAACGAATAAACAGTCTGTAGTAGAAACACTTTTTTTTGTTGCTTCTCCTTTGTTTATTTGTGAACATGCAACCTTAAATTCTATAAATAACTGACAAATACAAGACAAGAATTTCGTGAAATATTACAAAAAAGTTCAAATATTCTAAATATGTGTGGTATTTTTTAAAAAGGCTGCTAAATCCATTTTTATTAATGACAGTAGACAGCATGCATTAACATAACTGAATTGGATTTTCATAGGAGCAGTTTTGTTCTTTCTTTTATGTTATTGTTATGCAAATATAAGAAAGTAAACAGCTTTGAATTGTGCCTATGGCTGGTTGGGAAATGTCCCATCGGAAAACTGCCAATGCCCTGACCTTTTTTTTTTTTTATCTATGAAGAGGCTCTTCATTCAAATTTGGTTAGACAAGGTCAATCAGATTGTATTTGCATAAAGGACAAATAAACAAACCAAAAATGAATGTGGATAGATTGCCCAACAGCACAAAAAGATAATTTACTTAAAAAATGTAAATAAATAAATAAATTTTAATACCCACACCCAAACGAAATTAGCGCATGCGTGCACACGGAATTCACAAACAACAACAAAAAAAACACAGCTGTGTTATTTGTACACACCCATAGACAAGGTACTTGTATAAAAAAAAAAAATACTTGAAAAAAATTAATTTTTGATTAATAAAAAAAAAAAAGCTTGAAGTTTTTGCACGTATGCGTGTCTATACAACACATTCTACAGGCATTTCCATTTTATAAACTTTTTTTTCAGGCACATACACACATAAATTTATATACACTGTACCTCAAAAAAAAAAAAAAAAGTAAAGAGTCATACCAACGGGTTTAAAATGAATTTTTTCAAAGGAAATATTTTTCTTGAAGCTTTTATTTTGGTTTTAATTTCAAGTTAACTGTTAATAGATTATTAAATAATTAAATTATTATATTAAAATTTAATAATAAATAATCATTATTTATTATTAAATTTTAATATAATTATATTTAATTTAATTAACATGAAGTGTGGACAATTCCTACACCAAAGAAACTAAAAAACAAGTCCGTCAACAACAAAAATTGTCAAAAAATATTAACTTGTCTGAGAAAAGTTATTTTAATTAATTAGTGTGTGGGTGTGTGGGTGTGAGAGAGTGAGTGTATACAATTCAACCAAGTAACTTTAGATTTGTCCATCTAAACCAATCTGTCTTGTCTTTTTCTATGATGAGGAGCATACATACAGAAGATACATACAAATTCTTCTACACACACATGCACACACACACACATATATATATATATATATATATATATATATACACACATACATACACTCACTGAGCGAGGGCCACCACCCACCTCATCTTCTTGCCACCACGTGGGGGGGGGAGGAGGAGGAGGAGGAAAGATGATTCGAGGTAAACATCGAAAAGCCGGCAGTAAATTGAGTGAAACAGAATTAAACGCTGCAAGCTGAGTGCCGAACAAAAATCTGGCTTCTCCCCCACCGCCGCCGTCGCCCAACCCGCCAGCGTCGTGCACCAACACTCCTCCACCCAGCCACCACGTGGTCCCCCCTCCTCGCAGCCTAACCCACCCCGTCTCCCACGCAATGCAGAACAAGGTCACAGGAGGTACATAACTGCTTGCGAGAATTAGCATCACAAGGTTGGTTGCCATGGAGATAATCAATAGTTTTCAGAAGAAAGAAAAATAAATAAATAAATAAATAAATAAAACGGAATATTTTTAAAGCAAACAAAAAAAAAACAAAAAACAAAAAAAATACAATACAACCCCAAATATCAGAAAGAAAAACAAAGAGAGACAAAAAGAAAAAAAGAACAGAAAAAAATAAAATAAATAAACAAGATGCTGATAATGATAAAAATGTAATGATGATAGTCAAAATTACCAAAAGTAAAATGATTATTTTTACTGATAATATTTGTCAAAAATGTTAGGAAATAATTTTAAACAATTGAAAATATACTCAGTGCTAATTATGATGAGGCTTGCTATCACTTGATCCCTAGGAAAAATGGCTTATATATATATATATATATATATATATATATATACAAAAATAAAATCAACATAGCACCAGAAAAACAGAAGTGCATTAAGGAGACTTGCTATCACTTGATTTCCAGCATGATATACCAATACTGCTGGTATGGAATTTACTAAAAATAATAATGAAATTAAATGACTACAGGTTTTAAAAAGCAAAGGTTGATGAGAATGGCAGAGTGAATGCTGATAATATAGGGACTTGCTGTCAGCTGATCCCAAGTGGTGATCAAAAATAATTATTATTAATAATAATAATAATAATCTGAGGAAGACTGCAACAGCACTGATTAAGTTGTCCAGAATAGTGAGAGAATAGAGACCTGTAGCTTTTAAAAGACTTGCTACCTCTTGATCCAGTAGTAAAATAGTGGTGGGTGTGAGAGTAATAATAATGAAAATGTTAATAATCTTCAACTTTTAAAATGAAAATACCAAGTTAATATATAGAGAAGCAAAAATTAAAACCAATTTATTTTCTGAGAAAACCTTATAATATTCATACAATAAAAATCAGTTTAAAAAATTGAAAAAATAATATTCAATAGGAAAAAGATGGAAAGAAGGAAATAAAAATTGGGTGGACAAATTAAACTCAGCTAAGATTTTTCCTGGTGCTATGCTAATTATTTTCTGCAAATTCCCACAATGCACCAGTGTCTGTCGCCATCTTTTTCTGACTCACTAAAGGGGGCAGCAAGGACTTGAATTTAAAAAGTAAATTCTGCATTTTGAACCCTGCTGCTTGACATTTTACCCCAATCTGACATCTCAACCTCTTGCCTGTTTAGTTTTTTTTTTGGTTTTTTTAAATTATTCCAATATACAAGTTCATTCACTCTTTTTTAGAAAGCTATTCATAGCTACAAAACTTTGTCTCTTTATTTTCAATCTTTCAAAATTGCATTGAAATTTCCTTGCTCAAATTAGGCATTTTTTTTCCCCATCTAGTCAAATCTAGCATTTCTTTTGCTTCTCAAAAATATTCATGTTAAAAAATGTAGTTTTGAAATTGCCTAAAAATATAAAATGAAAGCTGAATGTAAATTTTGGAATCCCAATAGTGCGATACAGATATTGGACTTGTAAAATCTGAACTTACATTAAATAAATTGCCATAAAATGAACATGTTAGAAATTCACTTTTATTTTAATGACTCTAAAATATGGATCTGCCTGGGATTTGAAGACGGCAGAACCCTGGTCACAGAAAATTTAGATGATGAGTTGAAAACTTAAAATCTGCAAAAGTGTCAACATTACCACTAATTTTTAAAATTTGATATTAAGGCATCCAAAAATAAATTTATTTTAAAGATTTATTTTTGAAGATCCTTCAAAAACATGAGAGGATACTGAAAAGTTCTTGGCCTAACCAAGAAGCACTTCCAAAAAACAGAATTCTTTTATTTGTTCAAATTTTGGGAAGTAGGTTCGGCTAAGAACTTTTCAGCAGCCCCCTTGATGGATTTGTAGCTCAAACAAAAATAAGTGAAATACTCAAAAACTGATAAACTTTGATTCATAAAACCAGGATGCGAAAGATAAACAGATTTTTCTTTTTCTTTAATAGGCTGCAATAATTAAACTAAAATCATTTAGAAATCACATGCTGGAGAAAAGTGGCAAAATGGTTAACACTATGAAAAATGGAATAAGCAAACTGAATTCAAATTACAAATGAGACAGTTTGTGTTCACTTCACACTAATGAACTTGGAAAAGGGAAGAACTCTCTTCTTCTTCCCCATTGCTATGTGTTCACTTCACACTAATGAACTTGGAAAAGGGAAGAACTCTCTTCTTCTTCCCCATTGCTATGGATTATATAGCATTGCAGACAGAACTCTCTAGCCTTGGTTGGCAACCAGCTATGGAGAAGGACAACTGAGAATGCAAAACCATGGAGCAAACAGAGAACAAATTCACTAGCATTTTCAAGAATAATCATCGTCATGCAGTTTACAAATATTGAAAAAGAAATGAGAATATTGAGAGCCAGCTATATTTTTGTAAGTTCAGGAAAAGAATGTGAAAATTCTCAGCATTGAATATATGGGGAACATTGTGAAAATGAACTTGTATATTGTGAAATTCTAAGAGAATGTCAAGACAGCATGTGGTGTTATGAAACCTGCTTTTGCAATTGTGATAATTTTCAGTTTTTACATACACACATACACAGATCTATCTGTAAGAAAGCAGGTAGCTTTTATATTAAAAGAAAGAAATAATATATTTTGAGATTAACTAATGTTATATACAAGAAGGTACTGAAAGGTTTCTTGGCCTGATCCACTTCCGAAAATGGCAAAGCATGAGAATTTGTGAGGGAATTTAATCTTGCTTAGCCTAAGAACATTTTATCATCATCATCATATATATATATATATATATATTATTTATTTAAAAATTATAACATTTAATAAAATCACTACAAAAATAGCCATTTTATTTCAACACCTCTGGTGTCTTATCAAGTGATGATGTTGATTTAAAAGTTTCAAATTAATTAACGATCCTTCGCAAGGGGAAAACGCTGTTACATAAGCTAGAATGACCAATCAAAAACTGCTCTACTCTGTATTGAGCACTCTTTTAAGAATAGTAATTGTTGACTACTCTGCATTGAGCACTCTTTTAAGAATAGTAATTGTTGGTTATTGGAATTTATTCCGTATACTTGTGTGTGTGTGTGTGTGTGTGTGTGTGTATATATTTACAATGATGTTTCCCTTGTACAAGACTAAAAAGCCACTCGAGGGAGAAGGTTACAGAGTAAGAGGCATCACCCCAAGGAAGATGATAATGCCACCAAGAGGCTATGGGCCAGCAAAAGTGAAAGAGAAGGAAAAGACTTTAGAAGGAACTGGAAACCCAATCTTAAATAGGAAATAGAGGATAAACTTCTACTCCTATTTGAGGGGAGGGGCTGTGATGAGAATCACAAGAAAATCAAAAATAATAATAGCAAGAAAAGATCAAGGAAAATTATATGGTCTTATCCACCCTACAATAATAATATTAAAAACAGTAAGGTGAAAACGTTTTTAAAATTTATTACTAAACGTTTCAATAATTCACCGGAGTTGAAAAAATTATTCAACAGAAATAATCTGAATGTAAGCTATAGCTGTACAGGCAACATAGAAAAATTATAGTAAACCACAATAAAAAGATAATGGAGAGATCTGATAACAAAGAACCTGGTAGATGTAACTGCAGAGTAAAAGAGGAATACCCTCTGGATGGAGCATGTTTGATAAGGAATGCTGTCTATGAAGCTAAGATGATCAGAAGTGGAGAGACTAAATACTACGCAAGAGCTGCAAAGGAAGAGCAGAAAATATGATACTACAATCACAAAATGAGTCTGACCAACAATAAATACAAAGGTAGCATTAGGCTTTCTATTACTGGAACATCATTGAAAGTTGAAAGGAGCCACCTAACATCACATGGAAAATACTGGCCAAAGCAAGACCATATAACAGAGCTGGTAAAGGTTGTAATTTGTTGCTGATGGAAAAATTAATTACTGCAGTGAATGGGAGCTCAGCTTTTGAATAAGAGAAGTAAACTTATAGCCACATGCTGACATAAGATTTGAAAATATACATCCAGGGTAATAGTTACCTACCACCTCCGGACAATATTCCTTAGTTCTACCTGATGACAGTCATTACATGAATAGTGAATTCGGTATTATATATATATATATATATATATATATATATAATAGGTTAGAGCATTTGCTTTCTGGCTATGATACTTGTGAGTGAAATTGAGTAGACAGGATCGGTGGTTGTGCTAGCATGAAGTCACAAGTCATTGTGACTGAGCGTTTGAGCATTCTGGCCTTCTGTAAGTAATGTCTGCTCAGCTTAATTTTAGTATAAACCACAGGTGGAATCTGTGGGTTGAGAGCAGGCGTCTGTAATAGGGATTTGTTCTCCACCCTGGCAGATCGGTGTGCATGGAAACAAGTAGTAACTGGCCATCATTATATATTTGGCTTAAAATTTGCTTTATTCAAAAAAGAAGAGGGCAGACAGTATGGACATAAAAATCAATACTGCATGGTGACTGTCAGTTTCATGCCTTAATGTGATCTTAGAACCAAGAGTACTTGGCATGAAGATTACATTGAGGTGTGAAATTAAAATTGAGAGTCACCAATTTGTGTTGTTGCCTATATACACTCTCTCTCTCTCTATTTCTCACACTATCTCTCTTCCTATATATATATATATATATATATATATATATATATATATATATATACACACACTTTATTTTAGGTATTACATCAAAAACACGTCAAAATCGCTACACAATTGCAGTCAAGTTTCAATGCATCTCATCAGATTATTTTAAATTACTGGTGAGTGAACTAGTAATTTACAATTGTTTGATGAAAATGTGTTGTATACGCATCGAAAACATGACTGCAATTGTGTCGTGATTTTGACATGTTTTTGATGTAATATCCTAAAATAAAATATATTGCTCTACCTTGTATTGAGCCCTCTTTTAAATTAAATGTTACGAACGTTGGAATTGGAATCTATTTGTTCTCATCTTACCTCT